TTATTTATTAAATTATCAATTTTAAAACATTTCGATAGATTCTATATTTTAGAAGAGTGATATACTACGATGTCATATTTTTATTAACGCTTATTTCGTCCTGTCTATGTATACTTAGTCACATTGTTGGAAAATTATACGAAATTTGAGCAATTGATTAGTAATTGTGTTTGAAAAGTATGATGATATAACTTATTTTCTTGATAGTTAATCCTTCTTAGATGTTTAAATTTTATATTACATTTTTTCTTTTTATTTAGATTTAAATTATTTATTTTGATGTTCGTATTGACAATATTTCTTCTTTTGCTTTAAATATAAAATACATAACAGATTAAATATTCTAAACTACCTAAGGAAAGGTCTTAAAAATAATTTTTTTTTGACTTACGCAATAGCGTCGTCATAAAGACGCCTGATTTTAATTGTATACATTATTTTCAATAATTTATAATTCGATATGGCCTTGTTACAAATATTCAAGTAATCAAGTAATAACAAGTGTTCATTTCAAATAAAAAATAAGTAATTTACGATTTCTTCGTATGAATATCTTGACTTTCGCAAAGCGTAATCTTTTAAAAATTAAATTTCCAAACGATTTGAAATTTGTTGTGGATGAAATCGTAATGGACAATAATTTTTATTGTAATAGTGCTTTTTTTTTTATTTTAATTAATTATAACTTGTCGGTTTCCTTTTTCTTCATGAACCACATCGTGATTCGTTCCAAATTTTTTTGCCAAATTTTCCTGTTTCACTAAACATTCTATCTTTTTTTTTATATTTTTGAAATATTTGTGTAAAATAAAAAAAAATTAATATTATGCTCCACCATCAAAAATACAAATTATTATAAACAGAAGTAAAAATTTATAAGTTTCTATAATCGAGACGAGACGTTTCAAAAAATATACTTCTTTATGGGGAATTAACTAACGAAGTATTTGAAACGGAGACAAGGGATACATACACAGGTGTTACAAAATAAGTGGCGCAGAAATAATAATTTTAGCTGAATTCGATCTATTTTAGGGATAATGAATGTGTGAAGCAAATAAATATTTTTCTGGCAATTTACTTTTTGTATACAGAGATACCGCGGTCGGTAAATAGGCGAATAGTAAACACAGATAATTAACGAATAATTCTAATGAGAAAATAACATGTGAAAAACGAGACATGACAATTGATGATCTAAACACGGAACTTGTATGACGGTAAATGGATTTTTGTCATGCACTATAACGCATTTTGTATTTTTCTAATTAAAACGTTCTCACGCATTCGACTTTAATACTTTGATATGCATATGAATCATTCGTATCGCATTTTACTTAAAAAAAAATAACAGCTAAGAAATTTTATTATATAAATTTTTTTTATATAATAACTTACTTTAGAAAATTATTTTTCAAAAAAAAAAAATTTTAATAGCGCAAAGCTGCGTCACGCACAAAAAGACACATTTTTATTTTTATTTATATCCATTATACTTAATTAGTTGAAAGATTATTCTTTGTTTACAACCTTTTCTTGTTTTCTATTAAAAATTACATTGGTAGCATCCTCCCATGTAAGGTCCAACATAATACTGTGAGCCGCGCATCAAATTCAACACCATAAGCTTCAGCGGTTTCTTTTATATTTTTAAATCAAAAAATCTATCTTCTTCGGCACCAATCACAATCATAGGACATTTAATTTTCGAAAGATCAATAAAAGGTTTAAGAAGTTCGATCCCAACAGTTGATAAAACTAACCTTATCGAGCTTTGGATGAATATCTATAGCCATAGAATCAGGAAATGCTTTAGAAAAGGAAAACCTTTTCATTAATTCTGGAGTTCCAACTAATACATACTGTTTTAATGGTAAAGAGCGCTTTAAGGATAGCAAAAATTGGCATATTTGAAAGTATTTTACGAGTGTGTTTGAAGGCGCCTGTTCTGTAGACATATGGAGGTAAGCTATTAAAATCACGTTACGGATCATATGATTTACTATGTTCGTAACTCGATTTTAATAGCAAACCTCCCATATGGAGAAAATGAGGCAAATAAAACACCACCCGCCACTTTCTGTTGATTATGTTTTAGATTATTTTGAACAATTCCTCCTCCAAGTGAATGTCTAGCAAGTAAAGAAAAAATGAATTTAACACAAATTAAAAAAAAATCTTTATAAATAGGAATAATAATTACCCAACGAGAACAGGTTTATCACCGGTTCTAGCGATTATTGCATCAGTCACGGTTGATACATCATTTGTAATGTCATTTATTGACCACCATTGGAGTCTTTGTACTTTTTCCACGTCCTCGAAAGCTAGGATATCATTTTTAAAAAAAAATTAAAGATTCTAATCAAGCCTTTGTTTCGTGACAATTTATTTACCTCATAACGTATCATGTCCTTTATTCGAGAGCTAACGACAAAAATTATTCCAAACCCAAGTCGCAAGACCTAATCCATGAATGAATAAAATTGGTGGATGATTCTATAATAAACTAAACCATTGAAATCTTTTGCATTAAGTAATTTAGGATTAAGAATTATTATTATTTATTGTAAGACTTCAATTTTTATACTTTCATTAGAATCAACAAAAAAGGTATCCTTTTCTGTGTAATATTGACCTGAAGACATTTTTAAAAAAAGAATGATTGGATTTATTGATAATACTGATATATTTTTTTAATTAATGATTTTTTTTTTGATTCTCATTTATACTTTGATCGACATTTCTAAAATCATTCATGGCTATATAATTTATATTACTATAAACAGAAATTTCCTCAACCATTAATGAGGATCCTCTCCGAACTAACCCTTCGGATACCAACCTGAATTTAAACTACAAATAAATTTTCGTTTGGGTTAATATTATAATAATCATTGGAATACCACTTTATTCATCAATTCCAACTATTTAATCCAGCCATTAATTTTGTTAAGCCTTGCTTGTTCAAGTTCTATAATTTTCAACTCTGGACCATTTAATCTAAAATTGAAATTAATGATTTAGACGATGTGCTTAAATATACAAAGTGAAAAGTCATTATTAACGAGTTAACTCATATGGAAGGTAAGCTATTAAAATTACGTTACGGATCATATGATTTACTATGTCCGTAACAAACCTCCCATATGAGTTTAAATATCAGCTCAATATACGCAGAATCCGTGTTAAATTAATGAAGGAAGGTTGAAAGTAAATTTTATTAAATGATTAATACTAGATCACTCATGAAAACCTTCCTTACATTTGAACGATGTAAGTTTTTTTAAAAAGCAAAGGTTATAATGACATTTAAAGAGTTAAATTAAATAGATCGCTATCTGAAAATGATTGAATTTTTGGATGATATCTTATGAGTCAGAGGAAAAATAACAATGTTACACTGGAATGATTCGCACAATTATGGGCTATTTTTCATTAAAGATAAAATTCGTCATCATATTTTATATATATTTCCTCCTGATTACGTAATATTTACAAAGATTTAGCGAATCTGAAATTTATAATAATTAAAGTTTTTCTATAATTGTTTATAGATCAAAAAAGGAGATTACAACAATGATTATTAGTCGAATGCATTGTTATAATTTCCTTTTTTGTATTCCAAAGACAATAATTAATAAAATAAAATAAAATAATTACTAAGGGTGTATTCACAAATTCAATTAGATTGGATTGGATTAGATTTTCTAATCCATTTAGATTAGATTAGATTTTCATATAATCTAATCCGTGTTCACAAATAAATGGATCAGATTATGAATTTTTGTATAACATTATAAAAAAAG